AAGGCACCGTTTGGAATTTTCTGTCTTTGGGGCATTTAAATCAGGCAATATTTGAACGAGGAGGGTCAGGTTCACAGCTTGTGTAACTCCCCTGACGTCCCTGCAGTTACCTAGAGATTTCGGTCCAGAGAGTTTATAATCATAGAATATTAGGACTGGAAGGGACCTCAAGAGGTCATCTAGTCCAGTCCCCTGCCTCATGGCAGATCTAGTTATTATCTAGACCATCCCTGACAGGTGTTTGTCTAACCTGCTCTTTAAAATCATTTTCAAAAATCATCCATCAGAAAGAATTCCATCCCCTGTGTTTCTTTTTTGTCTGATGACACTGAAGAAAAGAAAAGACTGACGGGTAGGAGAGTGTCCTGACCCCTGACAGGCTGTAAGGGGCCACGGCTTGCTTCCCCCTTTGAATTACATTGTAAAATCCTCAGACCAGATCCTCCTCTTGTGTAAATTCTCCGCGTTCCATTGACTTCAATGGAGCTACGACAATTTATCCCCGCTGAGGATGTGGCCCTGCATCTGCTAGTAGCCCTGAGGGCTCCGCACTTCTCTGCAATGAAGTCTTGCCCCTCCTATCCATTTCCCCTAGCGACTTGTCTCACTTTATCACTGACTGCGAGATGCCTTATCCTGTTATTCTGCCCTGCCAGCTGCTTGGATGCTCCGTGTCTGAAGCTCAGCTCATGCAGCAGCTGTGTTGGGAATAACCAACTACCGTGCAGCTGAGGCACTGGACTCTCTCCCTGGGGCCAGTTTAAGCACTTGAGGCAAAGCGTTACAAGCGAAGGTCACTCAACAGGTTCAGCGAGGCCAGAGACCACAGCAAGAAATTAATTATATAGTCTAATGAACAGCTTTCTCAGCAGAGCTGTGCGGAACAAGCTCTCACTGCAATTGTTTGTGTTTCGGTGTCTTAACATTCAGCAATCTAGTCACCAAGAGCAAAACTTTCCAAAATATCCTTCAGCTGCTGCATGTTGTTCTCAGCACAATGGACTGCAATGTGACCCATTTACAGCTGTCCAAAAATGCAGAGGGCCAGCGCAAAACCTATTAACTATTGAAATCCCACTTAGGCCTTATTTTGAGTGCTGCATACAGCCTGTTCTGGCTCTCTGCACAAGGGTGAATTACACGCAAAATGCATTCATTTACTTGGAATTGTCGAAGTGCAGATGACATTTCCTACTTGCAGAAAATTCCTCTGGGGTGCCAAAACCTTCAGAAAAACTTCCTGAGGAACTGGACTGATGCCATGGGATAAAGTATTAACTAGTCACACCTCTGGAAAGATGAGTTCAAATTCCAGGTTCCACATGCTAATCCAGGCTAGGCCAGTGGGAAAAAAACCTCCAGTGAAGTGAATGCAGTTGCTCCAGATTTGCACCGGTGTAAATGAGACCAGAATGTGGCTGAAAATTCCTTGTGATTGCTCATCCATGATGCTAGTGTCCAGCGTCCTCCTCATGAGACATCTAGGATTGTGACAGCACAGGGTCTGATGGGTTAGGCATGAAGGGTGCTAGTAGGATGCTGGACTGGAATAGAGGACGAGGGTGGCAGGTCAAGGCTGCGATGCAATGTGGAAGCCCATGACTAGGGTGGGAGTTGCAAATGGAGAGCAAAGTGCATTGTCAGGAGAAGGTGGCTGAACGCCTACACCACGCAGGGCCCTAGCGTGGGCTGCTAATCTCTCACTTTCATGAACGCCAAAGTCACCCAAATCCTTTTTCTTTAGAAAAATAAAGAAAAATTGCCTGTTATTAAAATAGGGAAGGGAAATCAATAAAAATACATGAAACTAGATCATGGGGAAGCCCTCTGGAAATCAGTTTGTGAGCAGAGGATTCTGATTTGGCAGATATGAACCAGGTCTTGAAACCATGCAATTTGTTATCCTAGCGAAGCTTCTTGGTATTTAAACCAGCTGATGCTAATTACACCTTTAATGCTTTTAGGAATATATTGTCCATGATGAGTTCCAAATGATCTTTGGACAACACTTAACAGCCATAAAAAAGGAAGTGATACTAGAATCTTATTCTCACTTGCAGTCTAGAGCAGAGGAAATAATTGAGTTTTCAGTTGGGTGACTGAACCAAATAAATCAGAAAAAAATATTAATTTCAAGTCAATCCAGAAATGATATTTTTCCATTTTTCTCACTGAACCCCCCCGCCCCCCCAAATTTAGTTTTGGGTTGAAAGAAATGTTTCATATGACCCAAAACAATACATTTTGTTTTGGTTTGGGGTGTTTTGTTGTTGTTTTTAAAATTAAAAGTAACTCAATTTTCAAATGAACCATTGTTTCAAAATGAAAAGTTGAAAGGTTTCACTTTGAAAATGTCAAAATGGAACGTTTAGGCCTTTTTTGAATTTTTCTTTCAATTTTTTTTTTCTTTGGTTGAAACTCTTCACCAAATTCTGTTTGAATCCACTAATAGTTTTGGTCCACCTGAAACTGAAATTTTCAGCGAATAAAACTATTCACCTGAAAAATTTTGCTCAGCTCTGTTAGAGTCAGCCAGTTGGCATGCGTCTCCAAGGCAAACACTACGGAATGCAGCCAGTAGAACATCTAGGAATTGCTTACCAAACGGGTCCCAGGCTATGGAACCAAAGAGAGAGTATCTTATCAATTAATATAGCCCACTAGAGCTCGGTCAGAAGCATTCTGACTTCACCAGAGCTTGATACCCTGGCAGCCCAGTATTGATCTTTTATTTATTTTTCAACCAATGTCAGTGCTCAGGAAATGTGTCAGGGTGACAGTCCCCGAGACTGAATTCCACTCTATGTGCACAGGATCTGTACCATACGATCACAGGCAGTGCAAACTTTGCCTACACTCTCTCCAGATACAACTTGCACCTCCGGGCTCTTGAAGTCTTTAGCATCTCTGCTGAGACTGCCAATCTGGCTGGATGTTTTGGGATAGTGACACCTGTTGATTGAGAACTAGATTTGGGCCACCAAACAGGCACTGGAGGGCTATGACTTTCGGTCACTACTGACATAGGTTGGATCTGAACAGGTGACCTAGCAAGGAAAAGCTCTAATAACCCAGTGCCAATCCCCTAGGCTATTCAGTCCCCTTTTTGTGCTGCTAAGAAGGGTCCCTCTCAGTGCTCCAGCTTCGGGGGGATGAGGCAATTGATGACAATTAGTGAACTATTGTTTAGAAGCAGGCAGCTGATGAAGTTTGACAGTGAACCTAAGCAGTTTCAGGGCACTCTGGGTAGGAGATGTTGGCCCAGCAGCTTTAGGAACTGTCCAGTTGGCAAAGAGATCAGACCACACATATGAGCCGGGACATAAAAACCTGCATGTTAATGAAGAACTGCAGGTGCTGCGTCCTCTGTTCTTGTTCTAGACTATTGATTACAGGGGCACGTTTACAGAACAAGTTATGCCTCTGTGGACAACTGTAGAACAGAGAACAGCAGCAGCAAACGACACCCAAGCGGACGTAAGTGCATGAGTGCTCTCTTAGAGCAGTGGTTTCCGATCTGCTGCACCAGTACACCCGATCGATGCCTCAGCTGTACTGCTCAGTGCCACCACTGAACTATGTGAATTCTTACTTCCAAAGCCTTGTAGCTCCTTGCCAACTCTGTTGTGGGGATAAGTGTGCACATGGGGGGATGGGATGGGTAGTGAGAGAGCATAAGAACTCAGCAAATAGGCTGATGAGAAAGTAGACTTGGAAGGATTAGATTTTTATTGGTAAATGGAGATAAATGTCTATTTCACAGCACACACAAACTAATGAAAAAATATTTCCATTTATGATCATCTACATGCATAGATATTCAAAGTGAGAAAAATGCTGCTCGAGAACTGAGTTTGATTTAAGGCTATTTACTTTGTGTATTTTGGCATATGATGTGGACAATTTGTGTTTTAACGGTTATGAAGCTGCAACCTTTTGAAGCTCAACATCTACTGTCATTAAATAATTATTGTCTGACCCTCCTCCCTTGTCTGACACCCCCCCCATAATTTTCCACAACTATGAAAATTGAAATCAATAAAAATTGTGGGGGAAGATTAACACCCATAATTTTGCACAACTGTGAACATTTAAATGGATGAAAACTGAAAAAAAAGATTAAAAATAAACATCAATATTATCCATCAAAATTACAAAAGAATGAAAATTGAATTCTGCCAAGCCTATCAATAATGGAGGAAGAAGAAGGAAACCCTTAGCGTACCCATCACAAAAAGCCTTGAAGAGTCAGTGCTGGTTCACACAGTTGTAAGTGACCATCTCAAAGTAACTTCCCCTCTCCTCCCCCCCACCATGCAGGTGTCTCCTCTTGTTTGTGGTCATCACTGTAAGCTCATCATGACAGGATATCTGTCTTCATCCAAATTGTGCAGCACCATGTACATCTGCAGCATGTAATTATTATTATGAATTCTCAATAATGTCATTATATGCTGATGTGAAATCATGGGAAAGAGGAAGAAGAAGTAGACAAATCTGAAATAGTCTAATAGGCTGTATTTTACTTACCTTATCATACTATAATCCTCTTTACTGTGGTGGGGTGACACATGACGAAACAGAATTTGGCCTAGCCCATACCTCACTTTACTGGTAATTTACATGCATACATAACTGCACTGTATCCGGTTTATTTGTGTTGCTGAATAGCCCATGTGGTGTACATACATTATACATATTGGTCCATTTGCTAATTGGACATACTTCGCTACCATAACTTTGCATAATGTGGATTGTGCAAATATGTACTAGGAGACCATCACTTCCTAATGGCTTCTTTGACACATCCTCATTCTGGCCTTAATTCTGGCTGCTCTACTGGATGACTCTGCTATGAATCCTAAAACATGAGTCAGAAACATGTGGGCTCTTAGCTGAGGACTCTCTCTATTATTTAGGAGTCTCAAGGAGAGGACAATTCTCCAGTTCCAGAATACATCTCAGCAACTCATGTGACCTGTTGCTTCTTTCCTCTCTAGGCTGATGCTAAGATGGTCTGTGATGTAGTAAGTCGAATGGAGGACACAGAGCCCTTCTCTCCAGAGCTGCTGTCAGCTATGATGAGACTCTGGGCAGATTCTGGAATCCAGGAGTGCTTCAACCGGTCCCGGGAATATCAACTTAATGACTCTGCCCAATAGTGAGTATCCCATTCCATAGGTTATTATATCAGAAGGAAACGAAATGTTGCATTTGGGCTCATTAAACTTTGGTCTGAAGTGTCCTTTAAAATGCTCAGGTATGTCTTGGCAATGACTCTATTGGAGGTGTTGTTTAAAGATTGGGATGAGTGTTGTGTCCAAGCTATTAACGTATCATGCAGAACTCCGATACAGATCTAATTCTGATCTATCCGGAGCTAGTCTCTTTGCCCAGAATAGCTCACCCCAGGGCTTAATCTGGATGTTATAAAGGGAATGTCTCAAAGCAGGTTGCTCCACACACTGATCTAGTGGATCCGCTCATGGGGATAGTTGACTTCTGGACAGTCTGATAGATAACAGGACAGTTTGTTTACCTGGTTAATAGGACAAATTGTAGCACAATGTAGTTGATTCAATTTCCACTTCCCTAACAGAGCTCATTATGGTGATAGGCCTCCCAGAAATTCAGAGACAGACAGACAGATTATAGTAAAAATAGGTGAACTCTTTGCTGTTACAGTGGTGTTGGTTTCCTTGTGTTATTAGTATTATTCTTAACAATGAGCTCAAGGTGCACAGTTAGGAATCAGATCCAAGTTTTCACAAAGATCACAAGTGTTCGAGTCTAGGGTCTTGGTTCACCGCATTCTGAAGATAGGAGGGCCACCAACAAACTTCTAATCTGGACCTACATCTAGATATGAATTTCCCAGAGTTTGGGTGTGTTCATTTGATGCATTTTGGCTTGGACCCAGCTTTAATTGTTATCCATCCAACACTAAATCTGTCGGCTTCTACCTAATGATTGATACTAAAACAACTTCATTTTGCAACTTAATCAATGATGCTGTTTGGGTTGTTTAGCTTCTGTGATAAAGGCTGAGACCAGAATATAGATCAGAACTTTACACCAAAATGTTGGGATTTCAACTGATCTCACTATGTTGTATCACGGCATAATGATGCAGTGTGATCAGGCGCTTACCCATGTCAAGATGGGAACATGCAAATATTGTGATGTGATGACCCAGCATCCTCAGATCAAGATGCAATTATTTTGTACTCCAGAATGAATGTAGGGGACTGGACTAGATGACTGGAGGTCCCTTCCAGGCCTATGATTCTATAAATAGCAGGTGACCCTAACATTATGCCAATTCCAAATATTTATTGTATGGATATTCACATTTAATCTATTTCACTAACAATAAAACAGCCATTTTTGCCAACACAGACTTTCATGATTCTCTGATTACGGCTGTGCTGGCCAAAACATTGGTGTTTATGTTATATATATATATATATCATAGAATCATAGAATATCAGGGTTGGAAGGGACCTCAGGAGGTCATCTAGTCTAACCCCCTGCTCAAAGCAGGACCAATCCCCAGACAGATTTTTACCACAGTTCCCTAAATGGCCCCTTCAAGGATTGAACTCACAACCCTGGGTTTAGCAGGCCAATGCTCAAACCACTGAGCTATCCCTCCCCCCATATATATATTATATATCTTCCATGGAAAAGTACCAGTAGGAAAGTATTCCTGTATTTTCAATCTTCTTTTAATGCTATTTAGCAGCTGGAATTAAGGGGGAGTAGCCCACACCAAATGACCAGCACACTCTGCAGAGTCCATCAGCTAGTGGTCTGTGAACCGACAACAGATTGGGAATCTCTGTGCTATATTTTCAGCAATGATTGTATTACAATCACAGCCAATCAGCATTAATTTCAATGGAAGATATGTGACTAACTCCTCTGCAGTGCTTTGAAAATCTCCAACACACGCACAAACACACAGAGTGTGAAAGAGAGAGAAGGAGGAACTAAAGATTGGAAGGAACAGAAGAATTAAGGACTGATCCTGCAACCCTTACACACAGGAGCACCTCTTGAAGACGATGGAACTACTCGGCTAAAAGTTGGAGGATCTAGATCTCTAGGTCAGCAAGGCGCGCTCATGCACATCAGCAGGGCCGGCGCAACCCATTAGGCGACCTAGGCGGTCACCAAGGGCGCTACAATTTGGGGGGCGGCGACCGCAGCGGTATTTCGGCAGCGGGACCGTCCGCTGCCTCTGTGGGGGGCGGCATTTCGGGGTAGGACCTTCCGCCGCCTAGGGCGGCAGAAAAGCTGGTGGCGCTCCTGCACATCAGTCACCAGTGAAGGAAACTAGTAGCTTTAGAGGCCTTCACTCTTTCTCTTCAGTTGTCCCATCTGCAGCTACTCTAGCCAGATAAAATCCACACCTCTCTCATAATACCAGCTGGGGATTTCGTTGTGGCTGGAGAGTTGTTTCTATGAATTCAGCATTACCTTTAGTTTAAACAGCTAACCCAATGAAGTCTTTTGCATTTTCAGATCTGTTGCCATAAGCAGAGATCCTGTCATAGGACAAGGACACTGTAACATTTCTGGTCCTCCCCTAGGCCCTGGTGCACTGTGCCAGATGGTAACACAAGTGACAGTTCAATTGGTGCTTATTAACACCCAATGAATCTCTTTTTTAAAGGCATATTTTTCATTTAACCCTTGAACACCTTTTTTGTTTCATTTTTTAATGTAGCGAATAATGGCTTTAAATCACCAGCACATACAGAAATTATTTCCTTTTAATGCAGAGAAGGATTGACTCCAAATCAGATCCGAATCTGAACTTCCCCAAAGTTTGCAGGTGTTTGGATGCAGTGATCCGGGGACAGTCTTTTGGTTTGGGCCCATCTTTGTATTAAACATGTAGCCTGGTATTTATGTAGCAGAACAGAGTTGACATACAGAAATATGTTTCATATGCCAGAGTAGTCCAAGGCACTTCTCAACCCACTGAATTCTATACTCGAGTGCAGTCATTATATATCATAGCAGCCTGTACGAGTGGAATTTTCCAAAGCACTCATGTTGGCCTAACTCTGTTCCCATAGCAGTCCAGGGTAGACCTCCCACTCGAACGCCGAGAGTCCCAAGCTATCTGTCCAACTTAGGCATTTCAAAGGCGCTATCCTCTCTACGCTGTTATGTGCGCCGCAATCCCTCAGACGCAGCCCTAGCCATTACCATCTGTTTTATTAACTGAATAGATATTAGCCAGGACACAATGATTGTCCCCTGCTTTTTTCTACATGTACCAGGAAATCTCTTACCGTCTACATTAGCGACCTCCCTAGAATCTAAGCAACTGGAAAAGTAACTGCCTCATTATGTTATCCACTGGCCAATGCAGAATTGTGCCCTATATCACGTCCTCTAGTGCTTTGTCCAGGATAGTGTTAAATAACATAAGCTAGGAGGCTCCTACTGCTTCCCTTGGGAGACTAATCCACAATCTAATCAATAGCACAGAAGAGAGAGAGAGAGACACCAGCATGGGTTTTTTTAGCCTAAATTTTCCTATGGTTAATTCCATCCCAGTACTCACAGATTGTACACTCTTGTACTGCCCTAAACACGATGTGCATTTGCAGTTCCTCCTCTCCATCAAAGATGGGCAGAAGAGATCTGGGTTTCTACATCTCACTTATACATATCCCTGCATAGGGCTTTTCCAAAGCGTTTTGGTTTGGTTTGTTTTAAGTCTATACAATCAGCCTGTCTTTATGGAGGGTCTCACACGCATGCTGAGGAAAGTGGGGGGAAGCTCTGATTGCAAGGAGGAAAATGAGAGAAATAACTGATCCTCTGTAAGGGGCCTCTGGTATCTTAGACAGCATCTTCCATTAAGAGTAAAGCAATAGGCAAAGGAGTGAAAGGGAAGGACATTAAAACACTGCAAATGCTTCCGTTATTTGGTGGTGGCTTTTTCATCTGTCTCCAGGCAAATTTATTTGTGGATTGAGTGCTGCATCCCTAATCACCTGCTTTTGGTTTCTTTCATTCCCACTCCATCTCCTTGTCCTCCCCACCACCACTTTTATTTTTTTAATCTTGCTGCCTCCGAGCTACGGCGACCCCTGCTCAGAAAGAAAAGTCTTGGGCACTCCTCGTGTCTTTTTCTTGTACAGCAGGACACCTTCAATTGGAGTGTATTTGTAGACCCACATTTGTGCTCAAAAATCATACATAGGTGTTTCCTTTGGGATTCTTCAATCTCTGACTTTGGATCAGATTTTAAAAGTGAAAGGTCTTTCCTCTCATCAGATTCCTAACTAGGCAGGTTCAGTTCGGGGCGCTGCACAGGAAGAACCTGATTTTCAGCACACATGACTGGGTGCCTACTTCTGAATGTCCCTATGGGATGTGTGCACACAAACTGAGTACTGAAGTAGCACATACTCTTGGCTAGATAGGTAAGAAGATGGGCAATGGCACATACAGAAAAAGGCCAGAATCCATTTCAGGTGGACACAGATATACAGGTTATTCTCCTCCTTATTCCAAAGAAACAGAACGATCATCAGACATGTACAATACAAAGATGTATTGACTTTTTAGCAACATGCCCAGCGGCTATTGACACCTTAACATTCCAGGGTCAAGGACTCTGTTGGCAATGAATTTTGGAAACGTTACACTGAGTTCAGAGTAAAATATTGGCATCCTGCTTACGGCCTCAGCTACACAATCCTCCAGAGAATATTTTCAGCTCCGCTCTCTTTGAAGGGGAATCTGCTTGAGATATTGGTATAACCTTCATTCCAACTATTACTGTACCACATACGCCAACCAACCCCTTGTATGGAGAATGCAGAGGTGTTAGAACATGCTGCAAAACGCTGCTAACGTAAATCATTGTATAAGGAACAGAAGGAGTCGAGCGATCTCTTGAATGGCAGCCTAGTGATTACGCTGCTCTAAAAGAACCCCAGAGAGGAACTAGGACATACGGATGGCTGCTAACTGCCTGTTTTCCCAAGACAGCTCCCATATTCGTGAGCCTGTTTAACATCCTTCAAGCAAGACTTGCAGAACACTGGAACAGTTCTGTAATATCTTCCTAGTCATAGAATCATAGAATATCAGGGTTGGAAGGGACCTCAGGAGGTCATCTAGTCCAACCCC